TGTAATAATTTCATCAAATCCACTTTTAGCGTATGACAAATCTTTGATGGTGAAACATGACAAGCTTTGCTTAGAGTATATTTATTCAGATCGCAGCTCTCAGGTAGTGAACTGTTAAAACGGAATACATGAGTTCATTAACATTCTCACATAATCCACTTCTGAATGTTAGTGTTATACTGTTGGCAACATGTTTATGCGGCAAATATAACACAAAACTATACTTGTGTGACACTTTTTAAAACAGAAATATAAAACTTTGGTCCAATTATTACCACATAAATAGCAGGCAGGCTTAATTAAATCAGTCATAAGCATATGTTTTGTAAATTAAATAATGACATGTGGTGTTTGAATCAAAAAATTTATTATAAAAAGCATTCCAACGAGATGAATGGTGAGTTTTTCTCTCCATCTAGTTTGGTATGAGAAAGATGAATATAGTTTTACTGAAAATTATGAATTCCGTTGGAAAAAATCTTATCTAAAATATTTTTCTAAATATTGAATACGTATATATAAGAATTAAACCTTGTTGGAACAAATAAGGTTGTTCAATTGGAACAAATGTAGGTTAAAGAATTTTAAATGAAATATACTAATAGTTTTTAATTTTATTATTAGTCAGTACACATTTTTATTGATGTTAAAATTTATATATATTTAATTATTTTATTTCTTACTTCATAAAATATTTATTTTAATTTCTTTTCACTTAAAACTTTTTTTAATTAATTTATCATCTTTTCACTTTTAAGTATTTTTAAAAAATTAGGTGTATTTTTTTGAAAATAATTTAAAAGTGTCATTTATTTTAATATTTTAATTTTTCATGTTTTATTTGTTAAATACAACACATTTGAAATCAAATCAAAAGAAAATAAAATCAATAGAAAAATAAAAAAGAAACGATGAATATAGGTAACAAGATGTTTCATTACAAGGTAAAAGGATGTGTATCCATTTAATTTAAATACAAGATAAAGAAAATAAGAATATTTTTTTAAAAAAAAATAAAAATTTAAGTATTGCAAAAAAAAAATTAAGAAAAAAATTATTTTTAATTAAAAAATAATTAAAAAAAAGATATGACGGATGAGTGTGTACAATACAATCAACTTGGGTGATTAAAGGTGTCACTTCAGCACAAAAGTTGCACAAAAATATAAAAAAAAATGAATTTGGAAGGTGGAAGGATAGAATCTTCGTCAAGTTTAAGTATGTATGTCTTTTTTTTGAAAAAATCGTAGAAAGTTATTTTTTAAAAAAAATAAACTAGGAAAAACTTATAAAAACCAAACTAAGTAACCATAGACACGAGGCCTCCACAAAATCAAGTAAACTAACTACAAGTATCCTTGACACTTGAGAGTTTTGCTAGACAGGTCTAATCTCTCAACTTTAACTAGGATAAAGCACTCCACCTATTCGTGGACTTTAGTTAAGTGTATAACTGTGGAAAAGTCTTTTTAATTTATGAAAAAAGTTCTTTTTTCAAATATTAATATAACTGAGGCTTCTAGTGACTACTAGATGATTTTAGGTCTTTGCTCTTTAATTAGCTTTTACTTAATTAAGTTTAAAATTAAAAGATATTGTAATAAATGCTCTATAAACATAACCTATACAAACACTACTATTAAATAGTTAAGATCAAACAATACAATAACAAGGTTTTAGGTGTCTTTTGGTGAAAAATTAAAGTATCTCTTCAAAAACATATTTGTGAAAGAAATATATTAATAAAACTATATATTGAGGAGATATTATAAAAATAATAATAAAAAAAATTAATCGAACCGTACCATTACAAAAGAGAAACTGATATAATTGAATTTTAAAAAGTCTAATTTTGATTATACATTACAAATTACCCAAAAAATTGAGATGGTATAATTTTTAAAAAATAAGCGATCAAACCGTACTATTGGCCCTCCTACTAGATGATACACACATATACATACTAACTTTCTACCTTCATTTTTTCCTCTACCCTTTTCTGTTTAAGGTCAGTACATTATATATAAATTCAAATTTTACCAAACCATCATGACAATACATCTATTCATAATAGAAGTTCATTTTAAAAATAATTTAACACTCAAAAGCACTCTAAAAATCGGATGCACACAAATTACCACTTGATATATCATTCTTTCAGTTTTAATGTTTGACTTGGTTGGATTAACTAAAAATAGCTTCTTATAAAAAGTGTCATTATTTTTTAAACAGATTAAAAGCAAAAAAAAAACCTCAATAACCGAAACTCTTTTTGGCATGCAGCCCTTTTCAAAATAAACCAATTCTGAAAGTTTCACCTAAAACAGGTGGTTTAAAATTTATAAAAAGCATCTGCACCCCTCCCAAAAGCACTGTTTGGGTCAGTACACTCTACTCTCTACTGGCTTCAATATCTTTTTGGCAGCACAACCATATCCTCCCGCTTAAACTATAGCTATATATAATCCAGCGAGGGTGAGTAATTGCTGCATTGGATACAAAAATCAAAACTATTTAAGTAGTACCAATAATACAAGTAAAACATGAAAACAACAAGATATTAAAAAGAGAAAATACATAATAAAAAAAACCTTTGAACTTGGCACCAATACTTACTATTTTTAATGATATTACGAATTTTGAGTAAATAAAGGTTCGAAGCTTAACCAATTTAGCTAATCCATAATTTACCCATATTTTTATGGGTTGAATACAGGTATCAACCCATATAAAAAATAATTCACCCAACCCATTAAAATATGGGCTCCTTTTGCCGGCACTACTCACAACTATGTAGCATCTATGTTTTTTTAATAAAGTATATTAGTTTCAAAATAACAGTAAATAACTCTTAGTGTAGTGACATAACACTCCCACTATTATCTTGGTTGTACCCCTTCTCTAATTTACAAAACACTTCGTCTAAACATTCACATTTACTATATTGGGATTCCAAATCACTTAAATCATTTAGAGAACTAGTATTAAACCTCTCGATAACAACCTTACCTTATTTTTTTTTTAATGTGGGTATGTTAGGATAGATATGATTAAAAATAAGGATATCCAAGACAAGGAGGGAGTGACTTCGGTGGAAGAGAAGATGCGAAAAACAAGTTTGAGATGATTCGGGCATGTGATAAGAAGATGCATGCATGCCCAGTGCGGAGATGTAATATGGTTGGTTGTGGATGGATTCAGGAGAGTTAGAGATGGACCAAAGAAGTATTAGAGAAAGGGTATTAGATAGGACATGGTGTAGTGCAACTCACTCAGGACATTACCTTAGATACAAAAGTGTGGATGATATGAATTAGGGTAGAAGATTAATAAGTAGGAGTGCTTTGTCTTGTAGCTCTTATTAGTAGTCATAGGACTACTCTTCTAGTGTCTTGTTTTTCGATTTCTGTTACTATCTATTATCTGATGTAGTTCATTTGTTGTAGTATTGCTCTATTTTTGACTAACCAGAACTCTACCCTATAAAACAATGTCAACCCAACCACCACTCAATAGAATTTATCTTTCGTCCATGGAAGTTTATTTGGACGACTAATGCTCCTCAGAAGGTTATGCATTTCACCTGGTTGGTAGCTAAAAAGATAAATTTGACTCAAGAAAGATTGAGAAGAAGAGGATTCCATTTATGTTCCATATGTTGGTTATGTGAGTCTAACACATAGATTAATAGCCAATTGTTTCTTCATTGTTCATTAACTTATCAGAATACCATTAAACACTGGATCTTCTTAAGAGCTGAAATAGTTTGAGAGTTATAGTTAGACAGAAGAAATGGCAGAAATTGGTTTCTGCCTTTATATGGTTGACAGTTTCGATTCCTTTTGGTATACCCTTGCAAATACGACCTGTTCGATCTTGTTTATGAATGAAAGATTTTATTTGATAGAAAAACAGATAAAATTATGAAGTTAACTAATAATAGGTCCAACGTTTTGACCAAATATTTTTCGGTACATACTATGGTGATCAAAAAACTTTTTCATTGAAATATTAGTAATGCATTCATCACTTAAAAGTTTATAATGCATTTTTGCAGGATGATTTACATGAATGAAGTTTATATGCAATTGCCTGAGGGATTTCCAAGTCAGGGGGACTCAGTTGTATGCAACTAGAAAAGTCCCTATATGGTCTTAAGCAAGCAAGTAGGCAATGGAATTTGAAGCTATGTTAGGCACTTTTTCGTTCAGCTTTTATTCAAAGTAGTTTGGATCATTCTTTATTCATCAAGAGACAATGTTCAGATATAGTAGTGATATTGGTTTATGTGGATGACATGTTGGTCACAAGAAGTAACATGGTTCTCATTGAACAAACAAAAGCTTCTTTACACGAGGCTTTTAAGATCAAAGACATTGCTGAGTTGGAATTCTTTCTTGGAATGGAGTTTAGCAGATCACAAAAAGGGATTCTGATAAATCAGAGAAAATATGCACTAGAAATCATCTCACACTTGGGGCTAGGAAGTGCTAAACCAGTTTGAACACCACTTGAGGCAAACATGAGACTTACTACACAAGAATTGAATGAATCAATAGGAAGAGCAGATGATGAGTTTTTTGAAAACATAGAGCAGTATCAAAGCTTGGTAGGAAAAATGTTATATCTCACATTAACTAGATCAGATATAGCTTTTTCAGTTCAAACACTTGGTCAGTTCCTACAGCAGTTAAAAAAATCACACTGGGAGGCGGCAATCAGGGAGATGAGATATGTTAAAAGAGAACCAGAACTTGGGATCTTGTTGAGCATCCATAAAACAAATAAGTTGAGTGTTTTTTGTGATGCAGACTGGGCATCATGCCCTAACACAAGAAGGTCAGTCTCAGGTTTTTTAGTCAAGCATACTGATTCCTTAATATCATGGAAATCCAAGAAGCAAAATGTGGTCTCCAGAAGCTCGGCAGAGGCAGAGTATACGAGTATGGCAAATCCAGTGTCAAGAGGTAGTATGGGTGACTGTGTTGATGAAAGAGTTAGGGAGTGAAATAACTGATCAGTCATGATCTTTAGTGATAACAGAGCAGCACAACAGATAGCAGCCAATCCTCTGTTTCATGAGAGAACAAAACACATAGAAATTGATTGTCATTTCATAAGGGAGAAAATACAAGAAGGTATAGTGAGGTCAGTGCATGTGACCTCTAAGGAACAACTTGCAGATATATTGACCAAGGGACTGCCCAGAATACAACATGAATATTTGGTTGGCAAGCTAGGTGTGTTGAATGTTTTTGCACCCACTAGCTTGAGGAGTAATGAAATAGGGATAACTTGATAATGATGTGTAAGAAGGGTATTTGAGTAATAAGCAAGCCGAGTTTATTAGTATAGTTAGTTAGAAATGTAGTTACCTTATCAAAAAAAAAAAATACAGTTAGAAATGTCGAGTTCACTGGTGTATATATATGCATCAGATTCATTGTATTGAGTCAGTTTTTTGTATCCAATAATAAGATCGAACACATTTCTTCTTTCTTCTTCACTGTCTATCCTTCAATGGACGCTGTGTAAATTTGACAATTAGGGCATATTTGTATTCCATAAGCCAAAAGTGTTCCATCTTTCAAGGGTCAAAATTTACTATTATTAAAGTCGAAACCCGGTTAGAACAACGGAAGGTGACTTAGAACACTTCCAGTCATGATGGGGTTTGCACGAGGGATCAACCTTTAGTTTGTTACTATTTGCCCAAGTGATGGACGAATTCAGATGACACATTCAAAGGCAGGTGTTGTAACGTAAGCTATTCACATATGACATAGTACCAAATGATTAGAAACAAGTTGGAGTTAACCATAAGCTGGAAGTTTAGCGACATGCTCTAGAGTCAAAAGGTTTCAGGTTAAGCAGAACTAAAATAAAGCACCTGAAGTTCAAGTTCAGTGACGTGATGCATTAGACAGAGGTGGAAGTGAAGAACGATACGCGATTCATACCATGAAAAGAAGTTTCAAGTATCTTGAGTCCATAATCTAGGGAGATGGTGAGATTGATGATGATGTCGCACATCGTATTGGAGCAGGGTGGGTGAAATAAAGGCTCGCATCCGAGGTGTTGTGCAATAAGAATGCATCGCCAAGGCTTAGTGGTTAAAAAAAGAATTTAAAAAAATTGGTATTAGGTATTGAGAAAACTAGGGCTGTGCTGCAACTATATTTGTAGACAAAAATCACCACAACCAAACAGAAGCCTAGAACTCATTCATGGTATCCTATCACTTCTATCAAATCCAATAAAGAAAATTCCTCCTCTAAGAAACATTCTTTATACTAAAAGTGGAACAAAAATAAGCACTTTATCTTAATATCCTGCTGCTTCTTACTTTTCATCTCTTCTTGAGAAGAGGGTCTAACTGAAACAGTCCCTACCTTGCGGGATATACTGGGTATGTTGTTGATTGTTGCTATTATAGGTAAAAAGTTGTTATAGAGGTAAAATATAACATAAAAGATAGGTTCCTAGAAAAAAATGGCTTTTATAGTGAAGTGTTTTTATACAAGGATGATGTATAGAGAGGTCTGTTCTTTAATCTAATATGACTTAATTACTTCCACTTCACCTTCTTATAACAATTTGAACTAAGACATTGAAATTGATAATCAAACAAGCTCAGAATCACTTCAAAAATTTTCTTTTTCAGATTAGCCTTCTGTCCCCGTTCCTGATACTGCGGAAGGTGGAGTCGCATAATTGTGTGCAACCAAACATGTCAATATGACAAAAATTAATGTGCAACTTCAGCATATAATATCAGATGTCATTGTAGCTAGAGTACCTACCTAGATTGCCATAAATCTCAATAGAGCCCCAACATTCTTAGCTCTGTAACGTGATTAGGATCAAGTACTGGGACATCTTTCGTTAACCTTTCCCGATCTTCTACCACATATTCCTGTCAATACAACAATAAAAGTGTAAGCAAATTAAATATGTGGATGGGTGGTGGGGGGCCTTTGGTTTTGCAATATATGAACATTTGATCTCCATAAAAATTCCATATCAATTAAACAACATTTGGTTTACGATACATTTAGTACCGGAAACCAAATATTATCAGTACATATATTAAATGAGCTATGCAGCATGCAGAATTTGAAACCAGAAACCAAACAAATGTATACAAATTTCGGTACACAAGAATCTATGAATATAGAATGTAGGATATGAAAACCTGTATAAGCATACATGGATATGAGCATCTAACTACATTAACAATCCATGTATCTATATTCATCGCATTCCTACTTATTCACCCCATCAATCCTTGCATAGTTATTCACCGTATAATTAATCTCGGACCATAATTCTCGTATAACTAGGCCATAAACCAAACAACCCCATTACTATTAAAGTTGAAAGGGACGAGGCATAAACAAAATAATGCCAAAGTCCATGATGCATAAGCATGTCTGTGTCTTAGCAGTAGATGCAACACCTTCGTCAGTTCTTTTTTGGCAAGGACATGATAATGGCGTTCACTAATTCTCTGTCCACAAATTATTGCTATGAAGAAACCATAAAGCAAACCCACCAGTACAATTGCCAAAACTGCAATCAAAGAAGACATATTAGTCGGCAAGTTAATAAGCAGGGTAAAGGCTCACAAATCATTTTGAAGGGCACAATAAAGCACAGGAACACATCTAATCCACTAAACATTATTAGAAAGGATGCATTGCTGCATCAGACCGCACACATTTTCCTTTGTCAGTCTTCTCTTCTTGATAAACATCCCATACTATCAATTAGATCTAATATGATTCAGAAAAATAAGAGAGTGTTATATCTTGATTGCAAATGATCACTTAAAGATACAGGAGGTACTGCATCCAACCATAGAACAGTAACATTACTGTAAAACTTACCATTGATTCAACACTACTGAATAAGAAAGAAATACGAGAACCATAAGACCTACATCTGAGAATTGTTTTTTCCTCTTGTTCCTGTATTCTCTTGAACTGGTTGACCAGAACATTTCATCGCATGATCACCTCACATAATGGTTAAATATTAGAATATTGTATATTGCAATCAATGTATCCAAGTGTATAAACAGGTCTTTGTGATAATAACCAAGACCTCACTAAAAACAGAACAGTGTACTTGATAGTATCCCAACATATAATATGTCACTACATCCCATATCTAGTAAGGCTTTGAAGCAACTGGACAAAACCAGAAGGAATTTTCTATGGAAAGGGAATAACAAAAGCCATAAATTCCATTTGGTCAAGTGGCCAATAGTCTTGTTACCAAAAAAGTTAGGCGGGCATTAGAGACTTAGCACTGCACAAGAAATCCCTACTTATGAAGTGGTTGTGGAGATACACTCAAGAGGAGCATAACCTTTGGAAGGATGTGATTATTGCTAAACATGGAGCACTAAACCACTGGTGTTCTAATGTTTCAATGGCTCCATATGGAGTTGGTGTCTGGAGAAGTATATCAAATTATGGGAGGAGTTCTCTCAACACAAACACTTAATTGCAGGGAATGGACAATATATCAGTTTCTGGAGAGACAAATGGATAGGCAACTCCTCCTTAATGGTAAATTATCCTAACATGTTCCGGAAGAGTATCTGATGTATTGAAATGTTGGAATAGTGATACCAACCCCTCCAATCAGAAAGAGAGATGAAAAATTGTCCCGGCTTGTATTTGGTGGATTGTCTGGGGAGAAAGAAACAAAGTTTGTTTTGAAGACAAAGCCATTAGTATACAGAAACTAAAGTTGAAATGTTTAGGACTTTTCTTTTTCTGGTGTAAACATAGCTTAATGGAGGAGTTCGAATCAGCTAATGATGTACTCGACTCCTTAAGAGAAGATTAAGGACTAGGAGCTCTTTTTTTTTTTGCTCATCTGGATGTAAATATGGGGGACTACACACCCTTTGTGTAGTTTGCTATTAATACACAAAAATGTTACCTGTTCAAAAAAAAGACTAATAATAATGTACTTATAAGTAGAAGAGGGAGCACAATGTGCTCTAAGCCAGAACCATGCTCACCCACTGGAAAGAGAAAAATTGCTTGACTACCTACTCTAACCCTCAACCCTATTCTCAACCTCCCTGCTTTCCTATCTAGGACACGTCTTCCGTGAGCGAAGACATGTCATGTCTAATCATTTGATATAGCTAATCAAATCAAAAGATCCCTTTCTGCGCACCAGCTGAAAGGAGATTGTGCTCTCTGCTATTTCTGTCAAACCTCTGAGCCTTTGAATATGGTGAGTGTTCCTAATACATATAAAACCTACTGCAAGTCCAAGGAGCGTAAAAAGCACACCTTGCATAAGGTCACACAATACAAGAAGGGGAAAGACAGGTTGGCTGCTCAGGGTAAGCACCCTTTTAACAGGAAGCAGTCTGGTTACCAGGTCAGACAAAGCCCATCTTCCACCAAAAAAGGCTAAGACCACAAAGAAGATCGTGATGAGGTTGCAATGCCGAGGCTGCAAGCATGTCTCACAGCACCCAAGCAAGAGGTGCAAGCATTTTGTAATTGGTGAGGACAAGAAAGGAAAGGGAACCTCTCTTTTCTAGATTGCCTGTGAAGTCACCAAGAACTTCCTTTTCTTTGCCTTCTCTTATGTTGCAATGTTGAACTTTGGTTATTTTGGATGTTGGTTCTGTTATGTTACATTGTCTTAAAATAGATAATTTTCCGTTATGATAGTTATATGAAGATCCTATCAAAAAAAAAAGAAGAAAACTTGCAAACACTAGACCAAATATAACTAAAAATGTGGAACTTATGCACGGGATGGAGATCTTGAGCTGGGAACAAAACTAAGAACAGTCCATCAAATTAAACTGCTCAATAATCTGCTGAGGACTTATAGTGGAATTAATTTTTTGTTTTGAGATAAGGGTAACTGACTTATAGTGGAATTAATTTGATTCCAACAAAATGGCATTACCTATATGACTCCCTAATTTCCTCTGTGATTTGTTCTTCACGAAGTCCACAAAGAAATTATGTATTAAACTGTTGAAAAGGCAAAACTTCTCTTTTCATTGTGCAATAGGTGATTAATATTGTTATATCAGATTCATTGCCATCATGTTGATTAATTTTTTTATCAAAGTGGTGTCACAATTGCACATGGTTTTGATAATTAACATCTCAAATGATATTTAATCATAAAAAAGTTAACATCTCAAATGATAGCAGGTGGGTACAACAGTTCATGACTTCAGATCAACAAGGTTATTAACAAGACAGCAACCAGGCATTACCTATCTAATTCACCCCTGTAGAAGTATAATCTCATTGATCAGTTCATGGTAAGCGTTTCCTCTCTCCTAGAGGCAGGAATCGGTTTTATATATCTTTCCGTTGAATGCGGCAAAGTAAGGCCAGCTTTCTTGAAAGCAAAACAAAGAACTAGACTAACAACTGAGAAGCTACCAGCACCTTTTCCTTTCGACCGACATAGTAATTCCACCCTATTCCCCAAAACTGAATTATTGTTCTTCCCCCAGTGTATTCTTTCCAAAAATACATTCAATAGTATCTAAAGATGTTTAGTCATTTTATTAGTGTATTCTTTCCAAAAATACATTCAATAGTATCTAAAGATGTTTAGTCATTTTATTCTCCTAAACACAAATCAAGGCATTTACGACTTTTTCCAGAAAGAAGAAACTGAAAGTGAAACAAATTCTCCCACAACCAAACGGTTTCTAAACCAAGCAAACCTAGGACGAATTTAAGAAGCCGTTTGATGGCACATAAATCTTCACATCAACAAGGACTATACAGCTAGAGTTTTTATAAAGGTCAATGATCAAAACTTCATATATAATTACATTTTTTGACAAAATGACGATGTAACCAAAACGTGATTTGTAAACCAACAAGCATAGCATTTAATGGCCACAAGTTCTAACGAAGGTTAATCTGATGATCAAGTCAGAAAATACCTGCCATTGTATAAAAGCCATATGGATGCTCTCGGTAGCCAAACATTTCCCTTAGCTCCTCTCCGTAGAATTTGTATACAAGTACACCTAAGAATGCTACAATCTGTGATAATTGTTCATTCAACAATCAGCAAGGACTGTTACTGGAAACAATTGATATGCATGGAAACAGTCGTATCATTATACAACATCAATAAGTTGCAATCATACAGAAAAAAACTCCAAGACTTATATGTATCTCATTGGGTCCTAGGTTTAGCTTTCCTCCCTAGGTTTTGTACATTCTATGATCAAACACAGATTCACTTCCGAGCTTCTTGGCATAAATAACTTTGGAAACTCTTTTGACGTGATAATAGGAAAGACTAGAAGGAGCGATGCCTGGTCCATGATAAAGATGACAGAATTGCACAATGATTTTTGCCCAACCAAGAGGTCTAACCTTATGGAAGATCTCTGAAAGGAAAAGGACGGTCTCGCTCTAACAATAGACTGTGTAAGGGCATGGGAAGAACTAGGGGGGTGCAAAAGGGTTCATCTGATGTCCAAACCCATACAAGGTCAAACTTAATTTTTTAATTTATATAGTAGATGATGAATCCCCCAGCATTTTCATGCATTTACTTATTTCACTTTTGAATCCCTTAGTGAAAATCATGACTTCGCCACTGAATAAGGGGGCATATATTTTTTAACAAAATGGACAGCTTTGTAAAAAATGAATTCATAGGAATTGGAGGGCCAAGTGACCTAGTATTACACAATGTATTTGCCAGTTTAGCTATGTTTCATTTATCTACATTAGTTGAAATATTGAACAGATGAGAGAAACCAGAAAAAAAAATGTAAGAAATTTCAAGGTCTTTAACCTTTTAAACCTACTTATAACAAACACCTATGCAGCAAAACTGATCCAATATCAAACATGGATAAAAGCAGGACTGCAGTCGGTTGACCAACATAGAAAATAGTCTTAACTGTAATGCATCTTATAAGTTTGATGGACCCAAAGAAATCATATAACTGATCCTAGCTAATTTTGATTGAAGCATAATCGAGTGAATGCAGGTGAAGAATCTTTTGAATATTGGGCACACTATTTCACCATGAAATGAATCCCATGCCCTTTTAAATGAAATTTGTAAACATACCACAATACTAAAGGAAAAGGCTATGGTGGTAGACCCCAAGGAAGATACTCTTGCTCACACCTTAGCCGAAAACCATTATTAAAGAATTAATTCTAAAAAAAAATGCTAGTACATGCATGTATTTTACTTTATCAAAAAAAATAAAAAATAAATAGATGTCAGGCATCTGCTTTTCTTTTAATGAAATTGTGCAGTCTGGAAAATCTTTAGTAACCACAATTAAATAAGAACAACAATGAATTGGCTCTAGGCTTCAAACTTAACTCATTAACACTCCCAAAGCTCCGTTTTGAACTAAAAAAGAAAAAGGTGCAAACATTCAAGATAATCTTATGCTTCGCAGTAAGTGTGAAGCTCTTCTAATTTGAGAAACTTATGGGGGCTTTTGTTGACGGCCATCAATGTCTTCTTGTTCATTATGGTAAAACCACCATCACAAGCATAGTTATTTACTGATGGCAGTACAGAAGAAACATATCCTGTCACATTGCAAATCTAGCTTTGGACTATTGAATTAAGGTTTTAAACAAGTGGTAAATAAATATAAAGCAAGAAGAGCATAAACGAGAAGTACAGCTACATCCAACTTCTGTGCCATAAACTATACACCACCTTTGAACTACACTACTGGTAGGAACATAAGACAGAATGGAAAATCTCGCTAAAAGAAATTATGTCCATACCAACTGGACAACGAGAAAAATGAATGCATGGTCTCTTGCCACAAGGAATTGAAATTTCAATCTCAACCACCAGCGATCAGGTGGGACATTTGCCCGTAATATGAACTTTGCCCTGCATTCGGTACAGTGAGCAAAAGCAAATCCCTCCTAGAAAATGGAGCCACAAACACATTAATAACATTAAGAAGATGACAACATGTCTTATACAAAGTACAACCATTAATGAAAATTTCAATGTATGTTGTTACTTTATCTTCAAAGAACGGCTGTTAATGCCAAAAATTCCAAATTCAATGAACTAATGAGATGTCAATTGATAGCTAATAATATTGATCCCAAATTACTGCAATGAGAAAGCAAGCAACCTGATTTTAAAAAAATATACATAACCCAAAGACTCAAAATAGTTCAATAAAGGATAGTTTCAAATACTATCTCCACAGATACATGGAGGGAATCTTGAATAAGATGGGAATAAATCATAAGACAGGAGAAAAGGAAAAAGAAATAGAGTATAGCACCTAAAAATAAAAATAAAGAAAATAACACTCTCATTGCATCTAGTAAAACTGAAAGGATCTCACAAACATGGAATTAACACTTCGTGAGATTGTTTATCACCTCCTTCAATGGTATAAGGGCTAACAAGCATAAAGTACCTTGTTTACGTTCAAGGGTTACATAGATAAATATAAACCACAGATGCGCTATGAGCATAGAGTATTCTATGGCATACTAGTTCTTCTTAATGGATAACTTCGTATATGCTTTCCAGATACTCTAACTTCCAATGTAAACTACTACATGCATTATGCATTTCTTGGTGATCTTTTGATGCAAACTAACTATACATCAGTCTGAGTTTGATGAGAATAAAATTTAAAATTCTCCAACAGAATCTAATTTTCTGGCTACTTCTAGGACATGCGACTGACCATTCGTAGATAACATGTATATAAGTTAATTCACCTTAGTTGATCTCCAGTTATCGAGACATGATCTATGGACATACTTTTGTGTTCCTTTACAATGGCAGGGTGCAATCAGATCTTCTCCTGAAAAAAATTTACCAAATTCAAGCTGTTAGTGCAGTAACGAAGTATAATTCCGAGGATATATGTAATCACAATCATGTAGCTGAAAGCAACAAATTCTCATCATATCTTCCTTAATAGTTTACACAAAACTAAGTGCACAATCAACACCTTCACTGTCCAAGCATATGCGACATTGGGACAGTTCAGCATGTGAGAAAGATTGAATTTCATAGACTCCAACACTTGGCAGGTCACCAGCAGTCTCCAAACAATCCTCAGTAATTTCAGTTGAATGTGAAGTGTCCTCAGATTCCTCAACAACCGAAATCTGCGATAAGATGGGCTCTGTTTCTGAACTATCCACTACCAGGCTATCATTTGACACTATTCGCATCGCGAGAAATCTTGACTCCAAATTATGCTGTAAATCTCATCACTGGGGAGATTGTCCCTACAGACCATTTCAGTATAGACGGGAAAAACTGCAAACAGTAAAATAACTGAGAAGATCAGGAATTTGAAGCCCACTTATAAATGCAACTGCTTAGGTTCGACTGCTCAGGAACAGCAGCTGATTGAATAATATGCACAGCAGCAACACCACTCTATACATATGGATGCTACGATCTCTGCTAAAATACCATCTAGTTATTGCTGGAAATGCTTCATGGGCATTATATTTTCGTGAGATGATCTGTTCTCATAAAATACATTGCCATCATTGAAATAAGAATTACAAAATCATTACGATACAATGACCTTGTAGCTGCATAAATTTTGACTATATTATAATTTATAAGCTTATCAAAGAACCCTGAGATGATAAGAGTACATACATCTTCAGCAAGCAAGAATTTCACTTTTCTTTGAACATTTTGACCACCCGAGTGTTTCATATGTAGAATTATGCAAGGCCAGCCTATATGATGATATGAATTTGTCTAGATGAATATAGATATCTTGTGACAGACATTATTTTGCGTCAATGGAATTCATTCTATGTTTGTAAAGGGATCAATTGGGATCTGAGCTTTAGAAGGAATATGCACGATTGGAAAGTGAATGATCTGGTAGACCTTTTTGCTAGACTACAACACTGTCACATTAATCTCCAGGCAGCTGATAAGCTCAAATGGGTACACCAGAAAGGAGTTTATACTGTCAAGGAAGGGTATCAACAGTTGTGCTCTAGAAACCCCGTGATAGCTAACTGGCCCTGGAAACTCATTTGGAGGACCAAGCTATCACCTAAGGTAGTCTTTTTTTACCTGAATAGCTCTATATGAGGCATCCCTCACCCAAGACAACATAAAGAAAAGAAAAATCCAGTTCCTAAACAGATGCTATAGGTGCAAAAAAGAGGCTGAAACCCCCAGACACCTTCTTCTTCATTGTGAGGTGGCCAGAATTATGGAACATGTTTTATTGTCTCTCTGGCATCAATTGGACCACACCCCTCACAGTCAGTTAAGGATGCATATGAGAGTTGGATCCTGTGGAAAGTTGACAAAGCCATCAAGAAGATCTGGATTATGATACCTGCTTGTATTTTTTGGTGTATTTGGTTAGAAAGGAACAAGAGATGTTTTGATGCAGAGTCAACTGCTTTAGGCATTTTGAAGACTAGGTGCATTGCAAATTTGTTTACTAGGTCCAAATGCCAGAGATTTTTTTGCAAGCTCAAATGCCATATCTTGTAAATTTTGCATCTTCCTGATGCTGTTATTTTTACCACTTATCTTATCCAAAAAAAGAAAAGAAAAAAGAGATATCAATAACGGAAGAGAACAATTTTAATTTACAACAAATTCATTTATTTTTTCACCTTATTCTCTAAGGGGAACATATTTTAGAAGGTAATTTGTGAATTTGTTGTACAAGGCTCAGGGCAAAGAACGAAAGAAGCAAAGATGCTGCGAGCAGTCAAAGCACACTCAATACCTCAAAACAATAGCTGAGCGGTAGCAAGTGACGAATGTCTTTCTGGATAAATGGCACGTCAACTACAGGAAAAGGTAACAATTCAATGTGGTGAATTGCTTGACCTCGTCATGGTGATATTAACTCTTTGTACCATTATGTGCAGTGATAATAGCAGGAGAGTTTGATGGCGAGAGAGAAATGTCGAGGGACATTGTGGAAAAATTGGTATAAACTAATTAAAAAAAAAAAAAACTGCTACGTAGCAAACCAAAAGGCCTAGGTAGGGGTTGAGATAATAGAACAAGCAATAAGTTATCCAGAAATTGAGTCCAATACACAAGGAATCGAATGGGATCTTGTATTAAGCAAATTTAAGCTAAGAAACAAAATGAATCCAAACTAAAGAACAAAGCTCGGTGATGTAGAGGGATAAGACTAACCTGATATATCTTCAGGAGTAGTTGTTGATCGGGAGATGCTTCGACGAAGACATTGGCCAAGTTGACGATGAAAAGGAAGGGAATAACAATCTGATAATAGCCGGAGGGCGGTGGCGAAGCTTGGAAGATCGGCACCAAAAGGGGCCTGGAATTTGGAATTTGGAACTCGCAAACGACAGGACACGACGGGACTTTTCCAATTATTGTTTTTCATCGCTTTTTAAAAATAAATTAAATTATATTTTGATATTTCAAATAAAAACATATTTAAAAATTGTTCAAAAAATATCATTAATTATAATTTCTTGTATATTAATATGAGAAAAAAAATATACCGTAAAATATTAATTATAATTTTATAATTTGACTCTAAAAAAGATATTATAACGCCCCAAAACAAACTAAGATGAACTAAAGCCTCGTAAGGATTTCATAAGTTAATTTGAAGTTAAAATGAGTTACTTTAGTGTTCTTAGGCAGTGTGTGAAGTTTGATTAAATTTTGAGGTCAAACGTCCAAGAACGTCCATGACGTTCGGAAGGTGTGCCTTAGATAACACTTGTGTATCTCTAGGTGTTTGAGTGAGTTTTATGTGTTCGTTTTACTTGAAACTTGCATGAGATGTTCCTAAGACCTAGATATCCTTAACCTATAGTTTAAAGTGTTTAAAATCCGTGGAGGTTATGTCTAGCACCGAGAGGATATGAAGAAGAGGAAATTACACTTCTTGAGTTGAGATGTTGTATTCCAATGTACCCCTTGAGATGAGTACTCCTCGCGAGTAGATAATGAGTTACTTAGTAGCAATCTCCTAATCCCTTAACTATGCGCTCGCATAGGTGTAGCCATTGGGAAAGCCATGTAAAAGCTGAAAAGAATGACCTTACTTTATGCAAGTGAGGATCCCTCATCCGATAGGGGTTATTGTCGGGATTTCATGTCTAGCTTTCATGGTCTATGTCGGTTAAGCTAAACCCCACAAAAGAATTGATTGAACTAAGTCTTCTAAAAGAACGTACTAGTTATGGTAGGTGGTGGTATGAGACGCTCATTGCACAAGGTAGGACCTTCCGAAAGGGAAGACTTGGTGTCAAACCTTCTAAAAGAATGTACTACTTAGGGTAGGTGGTGGTATGAGACGCTATCTACTCATTGCACTAAGTAGGCATTCCAAAAGGGAAGACTTTGGTGGGTTTTTGAGTGTCTTTTAATGTCTTGCCATTGGTTGAGGGGCTTGTTTCTTCCGAGTTGAGTAAGTCGAAAGGGGTAGCCTTGAGAATTGCTTTGGTGTGTATTCAAGGAGGCATATGCATACTTCCTTCATGTCTTAACTTAGTGAGTCTTAGGATAATCCCGAGGTAGGCAAACTCTTACGAAAAATCAGTTCACTTTCTCTTTCACTTGGCCTTGGAAGTTCACTCATTTAGAATAGGATAGTTCATTTAATTGCTTAAGTAGAATTCATTGTAAATGCTTGAAATGCTTCGTTGTAATGACTTAAATCTGTTCACTGTAAATGGGCATCTAGTTACTGTAAAGTTTTGAAAATTTACTGTAAATGGTCTTTTTTGGTTTAAAATTATGGGAACTCTTATCTAAGTGTTAAATGATGATTCTTGTGATGTTTTGTCTTTATATCCTTAAATGTTTTACTTAAATTGCATGAAATCTTATTTTACTAAAATGTCCCTTTTCGCATGTTTTTGCTTATGCCATACTTAGTATATTGTTTATACTAACCCCATACTTTTCTATACTCTATAAGTATAGGCTGAAGGCTTTTTGGTAGATTAGAAGGCGAAGCTTGGGAAATTCACTCTCTCAATAATTGGTATGTCCTCATATATTCGAGGACATAGTCTATCGTTTCTAGTTTTATTATTAAGACTTAATATGTATTTGATTTCAATGTAAAGAGCCGTGTCCTTAAGATATTATATGTTGTGTCTTAAGTTTGACTTGTGATGATGAGATTTCTTAAGTATTTATGAAAGATTTCCTTTTTATTAATTTATTCGTGAAAAGTTTTAATTCCTCACTACTTTTCATGTCTTATGTAATAAACGATAGTTGGGCTTATACAAGACCCCAAAGGTTTAAGTACGCCTTGCCACGATTCGAGGATTCTCCCTAACTTCTAGGGGTGCTTTCGGGTCGTGACAAATATCATGACAATTAAGTAGACGTTTGGTTATGCGATACCATATCACAATATGGTATCCTGAGATGAAATCAATGTTTGGACGTGCAATTTCACGCTGATTCCATCTCAAGATTCCATATCATGAGATGTGATACCATGTTCTCCAAAAACCATGATATGGAATCATATGGGAATACCATATCATTATTTGAGTTATTTTAATACAAAAATTGATCAACGAGTTTATATTTTGTTAAAACAACCCTACATTTATATTTACTAACCATTTATTTCAATTTTCACATGTAAATAAAATTTTGGGCAACTTTCACATATAGCAAACATAAAATTCATATTTGTATGTTATAGCAAAGTTTACATAATTGCACTCTATAGCAAACATATAAAATTTATAAGTCTCTATACATATACAATTGAAGCGAATTGTATAAAACAAGAAAGAGAAAGAAACTTGTCCAGAGAATTGTATAAAACGAAGTGTATTAGACGAATTGTATAAGTATAAGTGTATAGAACGATTATATACAATTTGAATTTGTATAACATGAGAAGGAGAGAAAGGCAAAAGAGACTTGGGCAGGGAATATACAATTGAATCGAATTGTATAAAACGAGAAAGAGAAAAATTATATACAATTTGAATTGTATAAAACGAGAAAGAGAGAAAGGCAAAAGAAACTGGGCAAGGGAGTTTTTTTATTGTATAATTGTAAGTGTATATGACGAAAATATGTGTATTTGCATGTTTATATACAATTTTCTCTCGCTTTATATAAACGGAAACACAATTTATACATTTCATTTCTGTTTGTATAAGCGAGAGAGGCGAGGGTGGCGAGTGAGATCTGGGAGAGGGGAGAGAGGGGAACAAAAATATATGTATTTATACAATTTCCTCTCACTTTATACAAATAGAAACATATTTTATACACTTGTTTTTGTATAAAAGTGAGAGGAAGAGAGCGAGAGAGGAGAGTGGCGAACAAGAGTTTGAGGGAGAGAAGTGACTGACAAACAATTTGCTACGGGACACAATTAAATCAAAGGGTGGTTATAACAATTAATTTGATTTATTAGTTTGCCATTATATACAACTTTCCCTAAAATTTATAATCACATCATTAAAATTTATTATTCTCACCGACATAAACTTTATTATTTTCGCTAACATATAGTCACTTTAACTCACACTTCACGTTTGTTGAGTAATAAAATTTTGAAGAGCCTGTGAAATGTGTTTCATTTTTACACGAATATATTGATGAAACAATTACTTTAAGTGGAGAACAAATAACATTGTAATCATTTATTATACGACAGCAATACGAAATCCCATTGTTCCAACCTCCACGGATCCACTAGTCACCTCGAGGTTCACCAACGAGCAACAATGAACAACTAACCCACGTTGCTCTTTCATTTTCTCCAATTCTAGCAAATTCTTGAGCTCGAAATCACCAAAAACCAACCACAAAGTCACCAAGGACCCATTTCTCAACCATTTCCAACTAAAACAACCATCAAAAAATGGATCTCGACTTGACCCAAAACCCATTCATTTTTTTTTCTTTTTTTTTTTGGCGAACAGCTGCATAACCCAACCTTTTCAGGCCCACAAAACCCCAAATTCATTTGCTGTATAAAAACACCAGCGAGCCATCAGAACTCACACCACTATCGATACCATTCTTCGGTGAAACACCCATCAACAGTGAGCTCACAGACAGTGGTGAGCCACCACAAAATCTGCTACCTAAGGCCGAAATCTGGCCAAACCGACACCTTTAGGTCTCCATTCGATCCAGCCATGAAATGGCAAAAATCCACCGGAGAAAGCTGCCACATCCACCATTCCTCTTGTCGGTGAGACCATAAACACTTTTCCCTCACACGACTTTGTCTCCTTGTCGCCTCCGTCCGCCGCATAGATCGTCTAAAGAAAATGAAAGAAAAAAAATGGTTGAGCATGGATAGTTATGCATGAAAAAGTAGGTGGGTGGGTGAATAAAAAGGGTTTTTTATTTTTTTTCTTTTTTTAAATTAATTGTTCTATATTTTGATAAATTTTATAATTTTTAATTATAAATATGGTGTTCAGTTGCTTTTACACGCGTGTAATCACTCTCTCTAGCCAATTCAAACATTCAAATGGCACATAAGTTTGGTCAATGGTTAGAGGGTTCATTAAATTATGTTTTATTGAATTCAGGATCTAAATAACAAAAGGATAAGTAGAACGGTTCACAATACAATAACATACAAATATAAGGGTCCACCATACCATTTCACCTTAAATTAAAAATAAAACTAATATTATGGTGTTTAGATGGAAAAAATTATTAGAATTAGTAAAACTTTAGGTATGTACATTTTGAATAATAAAATATAAACATATAAATGCGTAATGAAAATTGCGGTTGAAGAGGGTTGGCGACCATGGAAGGAGTAGTGGCAGCTCAAGATCAGCAACAGCAACAGCCACAGCCGCCCAGGGTGGTGGAGGGTCTGAACCCCGCTGTTCAACAACAACTGAATCTCGAATCCGTTAAAACTCGAGCCGTTAGTTTGTTCAAGGCTATTTCTCGCATCCTCGAAGACTTCGACGCTATCGCTCGCACCAATGCTGTCCCCAAATGGTTCTCTTTCTCTTTAGTTCATTTCTTCTATTTTAACTGTGTAGCAGCAAATACAAATACATTGGAGTAGTTAAGTTGACTAATACTAATATCTACGAGCTGTATTAGCCCCCAAAATGAAGGTGAGTGAGACTAGATGATATTATTCTATCCCGTAGTACTAAGAGTTTAGAGTAGTCTATTTTTTTGTTAATAACCCTCAATTTGTTTTACCAAGCACCTCCTCTGACCTCTCTGATTAGGATACACTATGGTTTTATTGGGTAATTTCGGCTAATACAACTATGCTACCAAATGCAGGAAGTTTACTAGTTTGTCATTTAGGGATAGTTTATTGACAACACCAAAATGCATTTTGTGGGTTCTCCAGCCAAATGAGTTTCCGGTACTGTGTCTTCACAGGCTGGGATACCCCTGCTGAACTTTTAAGGTAGCCATTTTTATTCTTTGTCAATTTAGGCTGCGAGATTTGTTGTCATTAGGTAGGTCAGGATGTTGTGATTCTGTGTATATTTGGAGATGTAATTACTGAATTAAGTATAACAAGTTTGGGAATGCATGCTACAAAATACTACTTCAACTTTGATGCCTCAATAGTGCAGTTAATATCCTTCCATGAGCCTAGACTCACCAGGCAAGATTACCTTTTGGTTAGATGAACATTGCTACATAGGACATCACATTCTCAACCACAAATCATCTTCAGACAATTCCCTGGACACATCTCGGTTAGTAGGAGGTTACACAGTCTCTTCACCAACTTTCTTATACAGTTTGGGCTTGGATCTGCATATCCTTGTCCCCAGGTTTAGAGTAGTAATAAAGATCTGTGTGAAAAGGAGAAGCGCCTTATTGATGCATGTGGATTATCACAGTTGATCTCAATATTCTCATTATCTCCCTTAACAAATGAGAGTAGACCTTCACTCTCTAGCATTTATATATTATTCAACCCCACTTATAATAAAAAATCCAACCTAAGATATACTTGCACATTCGTTTTGTAGAAGGGAATGATATATAAGAAGATCAACTTACACATTTGATATTGATTTCCTTTGGTATCTTATTGTACTGCTGATTTTTTTCTTTTTCATATTATTTTTGTAAAATGAAATCCAAATCTTCAGCGTCATATATAATACCCTTTTCACGCAAAATCTGATCTGCCTCACTCTTTTTTTTCTTTCTATAGACACCATTTAACTTATTTGGATCTCGTTGGGAATTGAGATGAAGTGTTTTACAGTTGATACTTGATGATTATTCTTAAGAGTACTGAAAAAAAATATGGTATATCTTTATGAGGAATATGTAATCAGGAATGGTTTTCCAACTCATTTCTCATATATGTTAACATTTAGTTTTAATAATTCTTTTTGCTAGGCAAGATATTTTGGGGCAATTTTCTATGGTGAATCTTGAGCTTTATAACATTGTTGAAGATATTAAGAAGGTCTCCAAGGCTTTTGTTGTTCACCCCAAGAATGTAAATGCTGAGAATGCTGCAAGTATGGACTTATTCACTCACGCTTGGTAAATTTGTGAAGTTGGACTTCTATTATCCTTTCTTAATTATACATGCTAACCACTGACATTTGTCGTTGCATATAAGCAAGTACATAGGTAGTGTATAGGAAAGTGAATCACCGAGAAGGTTGGTGTCTTAATTCTTCTCTCCTCTCGAATGCTACCTAAGGGTATATACATATTTAGTCTGGCTGTTAAGTTGCTCTTTATCTAACAGTTTCACTTCTTGCTGACTTGCTGAGGTTAGCTTGATATACATGTATGCATAACTAGATAGCACGACAGTCAGTCACTATTGCTAGCAATTCTATTTCCATGTGGTGAAATTGTTTGAGCATAATCAATCAATCAATCAACCACACCCAATATCAAATTAGTTTTTTTTTTTTTTATGAAGTAAGTTGTTTCATTACCGGCATCAAGAAGATGCTAAGAGTACAAAAGTAGATATGCTAGTTCCGTTACATGATAGCAGTTAAGACACGGGAGCCATCCACCAATTCAAAAAATCTAGAGAAGGCTTAAAACATGACTATGTCTGGCCTAGAGTTAAAGAGCTAATAAAATCTAAGAAAGTAGTGTAACTATTCACATAAGACGGGTTGGACCAACAAAAAAGAATGAACAAACATTTAGCTTTGAGTGAGTGATTAAGAGTTGAAATTCCATCAAAACACCGTTGATTCCTTTCTGTCCATAGGCACCAAAAAATACATGCTGGAATCATTCTCCAGGTGTTCCTGATGGCCCCATCAACTATCAAATGGTCCCAACTCACAACAACTTCTCTGATAGTTTGAGGCATCACCCAGTTCAAACTGAATAGGGAAAGGAACACATGCCATATGCCTGCATCCACCGCACAACGCAAGAAAAGATGATTTACTGATTCTGCACTTTCCTGAATTTCTTTTCCAAATTTCTGATAAGGTTAATGAAAGAAATAAGCATGTATTTTTTGGGCTGTGGAGTATATTTGTGTTGACAGAAAATCCGAAAGATGCTTTCTGTCTATGTTGCTCAGACTCTCAGTGGGTGTGTATCGGATTTTCCAAAAGTATTGTATTTTTGAAGAATTTGACACGGGTGCGGCATCAAAAGTGAAGAGTCCGCGCAGCTTAGCTTTCTGTTAGTTGTTACTTACAAATACTTTTCGATGCAGTTCTACCTGTTATGCTGTCATCAAAGCTGCTGCCAGAGATGGAAGTCGAAGATAATGCCAAAAGGGAGCAATTATTACACAGCATGCAACACCTATCGGTAGCATCCCAAATTGAGAAGTTGAAGGTGGAAAGCTCTGCAGATGCTATTTCTTCTGTTTCTGTATCCTTGTGGCTTTCTAATATACCTATAACACACAGGTTAGAATTGATATGATTGGAGCAGCATGTGAAAGTGCTGAGAAAGTCATAGCTGATACGCGCAAAGCCTACTTTGGAACCAGACAGGGGCCAACACTGCTTCCAACTATTGACAAGGCACAAGCAGCAAAAATTCAGGAACAAGAAAATTTACTTCGCACTGCAGTAAATCATGGTGAAGGTGATAATATTTATGTTCTGAGTTTTTTCCCAGAAACATCTTTTCTCCTTCTCAGAGTTCGTTAAATGTTTTGCTTGCACAAGACATTGACGCTAAAGATACTTGGACCCCAATGGTCCCTATGTTGATGTTTAATCTAAACTAAAAGAAAGAGAGAAGGATTCTTGCAAACTATCAGATCCACTGAGTGCCTTGTTAATCAGAAAATTGCACATATTTCTGATGACGAAGAAGGTGCAATTGCAAGTCAGATGCTTCAATGTGCTTCTGCTATGCATCACAATATATATGTACAATAAACCTGACATGTGTCTAGTGTGTGTAGCATCCCTTTGGTGGTGTTTGGCGGTACACTCGTTTATGATTTGTTTTAACATGTATGCTCACAGATTTCATGAAAATGGTACTTATGCAGGATTACGTGTACCTGGAGACCAAAGGCATATTACTTCTGCACTTCCTGGTCATTTGGTAGATGTGCTTACAGTGTCTGATGGCCCCCAGTCTTTCGCTGATTCATCCGGTAGCCTATCATCTATTGTTGTCCTACTGTTTCCACTTTATTTCATGAACATCTGACTAGAGAAATTGATGCTGTGTTCAAGTAGGGACTTATCTGAAGAATACTCCTCCCTTTCCATCGAGCAATGTTAATAGTCAGGGAGCTTTGTTACAGGTCAGATTTCTTATAATTTGCCTTGTAAATATGCCTTTTGCTTAAGGGATGAAGATCAATTTGAAACATGATTTTACTTCCACCCTCCGGCGTCCTGTAATGTTGTTATTCAAAGGAGCTATGAACAAAGGGACAAGTGGTTATCTTGTTAATGAGTGAATATCAATTTGGAACACATGAATTTTACTTCCACCACCCATAATTTTGTTACTAAAGGAGTTATGAATAAGGAACAAGTAGTTATCACACAATTATGCTATTCTATCTTTATCATTTAAAAAATTATGCTATGGTTTCTTTCTGTTTCGAAAAAAGGAGCCTTAACAAAGATAAGCGGTATGCCGTGTTACCAGGGGGTCACAGGTTTAGCCATGTGTAGGTCTCTCGCAAAAATGCAAAGTAAGGTCTGCACCTTCTCTAGTCCCAGGTATAGAGGGAGCCTAGTGAATTGGGCTACCTTTTTGTCGTCTTCTGTATGGTTCTACTATCTCTTTTACTGTTCTCGGGGAGGGAATTGTCATGCCTTTTTATTCCCAGTTCACTCTAGGTTTACAGACCTCTTTTTAGGTTGGCCAACCTGATTATTTTCACATGTTCCATAGCACCAAATGGATACCAAAAAACTGCACATCTTAGAATGGGTTTAGATCAATTAGTTACTGAAGGAGTTTACTAGGTCCACTATAGTATTTAATAATCATATACATGTTCTATGTTACACACCAAATACACTACCCTGATTGTAATTAATATCAACTACTGCATGTTCTTTGTATACTTACATCCTTGGTTACACATCAACTTCTCGTGCAAGTTGTAACGCCTGTTTTTTTTTTTTCTGGGGGTGAAAGAGCTGTAGGAATTATTTCCCTCATTTATTTGAATTTATTGGAGGATGGGAGATCAAGTAGAGTTTGCTATTAAATACTTATGTAAGAGTTCGGAGAGGAAATGCAAATCTCCTTCTATTCATGGCGCTAATCAGTAATATGGAAACAATAAATGATTAATCTGCCAGAAGTATACTGATCATATCCTTTTTCCATTCTTTCTCCTTAACTAAACATTACATTAAATCAATGTTCCCCAAGTTATTTTAATATATTGAGTCCTTATTGTCTTTTAAGTTCGTCAGTTCTAATATGTATGTATTGCTCTTGGAGTAGGCTTCTGGAGCACTTCGGGCTGCAGTTTCTCCTTCTGGGCCCACTTCCTTTGATACTACAACAGCATCACCTCTGCAACATGTCAACTCACCTAGGTCTAGTGCTAACATGATGAATACACCATCTCCTCAGCAACAGACCCATCAGCAACAGCAGCAGCAACAGCAGCAGCAGCAGTTGCAGCAGCATCAGCTCCAACAGAGGCAGAAAATGCTGCAGTTACCTCAGCATCAGCAGCAAATTCTTGCCCAACAGCAACTTAGGCAAGCCTCAATGCCTGGACTGGGGCAGGTACAGTTTGTACAAAAATCTTGATTGGTTTAAGGTATCTTTTTGTGAATTTGCACGACGTATAGCGTGCTTAGTATGGGCTACCTTACCATTACCCTTTTACTCATAAAGAACAGGCATATATCTTCTTTTGTTTCCTCCAATTGTCAGCTATGAGAATTGAATCCCTAGCAGTTCCTTCACAGAAAAGCCACTTTTTTTGGCCTTTAATATCCAACTAGTTCCATTAGGGAATCCACTGAGTCCTTTATGACAACCCGTAAATAGATTTAGCGGTGAGAGGGCCTGATGAATCACCATCCAACTGCGAACGCCTCTCATCTCGCAAAATTTACAAAAGTTGAAGGCTAAAATTGTTTACCTCATTCAACTCTTGAGTCATTATGATTCATTTAAAAGGTCCAGAAAAGAGTTCTCTCAGGCCTCTGCCACATCCCATGTTGACTTTTAACAAATTGGGAGAAGTCCTCCTAGTTGTGTGGTATCCCGTATCCCCATCCTAGCTGCTCTTTGATAAGGACTGGTAACTTGTCATCCCCATTTCCTTTCCACGTGTACTCCTCTGAACCATGCTCCAGTGCAATCTTTATCAACCCTTGACCTCCAATTAGGGATGTTCATGGTTCGGTTTGGGTCAGTATTGGTTGAAACCAAAACCAAATACATATCAATCAGTTTGGTTGTTGTTATTTGGTTTGGTTCAGTTTTAATGATACCTAATGATATTTCTCTCTTCAATTTTTCCCCTTACAATTAAGAAGGATTTTCCCATCCTTTTTCATCTTTGTGATGTCTTCCATTCAAAATACTTTTGATCATTCATCTAAAGAGGATTCTGGGTTTCTTTTATCCGAAGCGAATGCTTAGCCTATTTTGTGTTCTTTTTACAGTCAAAGACTGACATAAAATAACAAAGAAAATAGATTCATAAATTGGATCCACTGTTTTGATATGCTTAATGGTAAATCCTAGTATGTGAGGACAGGCCACTAGTTTTACAGCCAAGCTCCTGATCAACCTACAGGATTCCCAACTTCTCCAATAGGTAGGAATTTTATCTCATTTCTTCATCTACCAAGGAGAATTAGGTCCATTTCACCAATTAAAAAAGAAAATTGGGACCATTTCCCCGTAAAATTGAAGAGCAAAAAGTGCACTGCTTGCACTGATCTCTTTAAACTTGTTATGGTTCATCTCTCCTTATTTAGCATTCAGACAATTCATGAGGAGGAAGAAGCTCAGATTAGTTAGTAACACATGCACACTGGCTGTTTGTATATACGACATGCGTAAATATCCAATTCAGATTCTTTTCAAAGGGCACTTTACTCCAGGATTGCACATATTTTCCAAAGAGTATGAACTTGTTAATCTTTTAAACAAAATGAGGACAATTATTGATTTTCTGCTACTTTTTTGGGTTTCATTTTTGGTTTTGGAAAAGCTTTGTAGATGACACAGAATCTTTACTTGACATAATTGATACTTTGTAAGATAAAAGAGTTGATTTTCTGAACTGTAAATGTGGCTGCAGCACAGCCTTTATGCTGATATGAATACAACATTACAGTTTTCTCAAAATTAATGAACATTGATTTTCAGCACTTTCAATATGCTTACCTTACCATGAATGACTTCTTCAAACATGAACATAATTATTATTCTATTTGGTGTATAATATATTAGTTTCTGTTGTTCATTTTATTGGGGAGTAAGTAATTGCTAATGAACCTGCTTTTATCAAACGGTGACCAATAAACCTGTTTATTAGCTGCATGGTCAGCCACAGATGCAGTTCTCTCAGCCACTGGGAGCACAGCAGTTTCAAGGTAGGCAGCTACCATCTGGTGCCCTTCATCACGGTATGGGTCAAAGTCAGCTCAACCAAGGAAATCAGCTGAATCGACATTTAAACCAGTTTTCTAGTCCTATGAATACTGCACTATTCAATTCTGCCCAAAGCACACCTAGCTCTCAGATGGTGAGTCAAATATATCAGTTTTTATGTTATTTCCTTCTTCAGTTCAGCCTATCCACAATGACTTACTCATTTTGCCCGAGAATTTTAAGTTCAAAATCTCTAGTTCTGCTGTTTTCTGCCTCTATAAATTAATTTGGGATATTCTGGTTACATCTGAAGAATGCAAGTTATTTATCTCATGCATTGAACTGATATTTCACATACTGAAAATTTCTGGGATCTTTGAAGCTGATAGTTCTAACTAAATGTTTGTTGCATTGTATGTACTGAACCTGTTAGAACCAAAAGTTCTAGAAAATTTTCATCTCTATTTGGTTCCAACTCATAGTTTGTCCATTAGTTTATTTTCCCCTGAAGGCACTCAATGTTGTATAGCACAGGATATGAAGTTATAGATCACATGGCGTGCTGTGTATGTAGTCCTCCCCTATGACATAGATATTAACTAACTTGGTTTACATGTTAATGCAATGCTCATCTGGTCACAGAAATGGTCGTTTCCGTGTCAACAACAACATAACCTAGTGTAAATCCATAAGTGGGGTCTGGAGAGGGTGGTGTGTAAGCAGTCTTACCCCTACCTTGGGAAGGTAGAGAGACTGTTTCCGATAGACCCTCAGCTAAAATAAAGCATATCTGGTCTTTTCTGTGTCAAGCTTCATTGTGTCTTTTGATTATTAGCTGTTTATTATTTTACTAGTTTCTGACAACGTGCGTTGCACGTTTATTCTTTACTATTGTTATATAATTTAAAATTGTGCTATCAAATAGAAAATATTTAAATCAACAATATTAATTTTACCAATTATATTTCATGTATCAACAAAAATAAATAAAAAGGGATTGCACATTTGGCATCAAGCAAAAAGTATGTAAAATTAATTAACATAATATAGTCTCCTTTAACTTTGTATAAGTCTTTTTTATGATCTAAATATCAGTGATAACATTTTATAGCCATAAATGGATATTAAAAATACATGCACACTTATTGATAAGATTGCCTATTTTATTTTAATGAGAAACGATAGAGTGAAATATTTATATTATTTAAGTAAGGTTCTAAAATTAAAAGACAGTACTATCAAAATTATACAAGATAAACACTGAATCTCATACATACATCTATTTCAAAAGCTCATAATAATAGCTAAAAGATTACATTACCACAATGAGTTTATTAGAAATGCAAAAGATATTAGAAACAACAATAATCTTCGTGATGGAGAATATATATCGAAAGAGATATGAGGAGTTAGGCATGTCTAAAAAGAAGTCTTCAAGTTCTTCTCCCACCTCATGTATTCTATTTTTTCATGTCTTTTTCGCCAATCATAGATGGAATAGTTTTTTGATTATCAGTTGAATGACAATTTCTTTCATTTTTCAATGTTATCACCTAGTTCTTAAATAGTAGTAAAAATGTCTGTTTAAATTCTATATTTTTCAGTTCTAAATAATAGTCTTTAATATATAGATAGATGGAAAGATGAAAAATACAAATCATAGACTTAATAAGAGAATTAACATTACCACTAATAATTATTACTTTGAACTTGGAATCTAATCTAGTTTGAATGAATAATTAAAAAGATGAAAAACACAAATCATTTTAATTAGTAATAAATGAGGCAGTTACAAGTCATCTCAATAATTTATTACTAATTCATTCATATATAATAACACACTTTTAATATCATAGTAATAATAAATAAAATAACTAAAATCAATGGCATTAATCGGATAAATGGGGGGTCACTTTTTTCATATGCCAATAATTATTTTAGGATATACATGTACAATTAAAATATGTCTTTTCACATTCCAAACATTTAATTATTTACTTATATTTTAATTAAGAATTAATTTAAGGAAATGCAAAAGTCGTCTACATTTTTATTAAAATGATACAAGTTAACATTTAAACTAAATAATTAAATGCTTTCTGCCATTAAAATATGTGCATCATAATTTCTAAATTTATCGAGCATTCTTTTCTTGAACTTAAAATTCCAAATGTCCAGTCTGCTTCGAATTATGTTAAACTTATTCTATATGGCAGATCTCAAATATGTCAGCAATGGTGCCATCACAAACTCTTCTGCCACGAATGCAGGTGTGTCAAATTGTATTTCCTATTGTTGTTGTCATGCATGCTGGAAGTTATTATTTGGTCAATAATTATAATTCACGACAAGGTGAACTGAGTGCCTTCTCTGGAGTGGAGAAAGTGACCCGATGTCTTCATTTAGCTTCAAAGGGAGGGAGTTCATTTTGTTTTCTGTTTGACAGTTAATTGAAATTTTCTATTTTATTGGCATTATACACATCAAATATTTTCTGTTTTGATATCTGTCTTGACTGTGAATTTGGTTTAAATTGATGGGAGGCTATAGCTATATGTGTGAACATGCGGACACAAATTACATGTGGTCCTTCAACATGTGGACACAACTTACATGTGGACATACACGCTTAGACATAATTAGTAGCCAAGGAATTTGGTTCAGCTTACATTTCTTGAAGTTCACTGATTATGTTTAAGCATGTATGTCCACATGTTCAAGGACATTTTTACGTCCAATATGAAAAATCTGTTTTTTTCGGAAGTCATTTGCATGGGAATAACCTAATTTTGCATGTTTCATTTATATTATGTTGCCAATTGTTTTATGGCCTCATATGACTGCTTTCAGTTTGGAATGTCTGGTGGAACTCGGAATCTTGCTGCTGCAAACCTGAGTGATCAAAGTAAAAGCACCTCCCTCTACTTATCTTTTATATAGTTCTGTCCATAAGGATTTTTCTTCATTTCTTAGCCCGAAGAGAGAATGTCGTAAACCAAATAAAAGTGCGCCTTGTTTCTAGTTGCAAAACATTTGTTCCTAAACAGAGATGGTGGTTTCTCTGCAGTGTTCAATATGGGAGGAAACAATCCTGGTATGATGTCAATCCAACAGCAGCAGCATGGCACATTTGGAAACATGTCACAAAATACACAGAATCTGCAGCAGGGTATGATGCCTCTTCAGAACGCACCTCAGACCCACCCTTCCTTTCAGCAACAAAGACCACAAGGCCAACAGTGAAGTATCTAAGATTAGATGGAAGAGGAGGATATTTATACCAAACCTCAACATTTCCTAACTTTGTTTGATCTTTAAAAAAAAAATGTGAAGGCCAGATTCTTGCAGGAAATTTTTGTTGGAACATTACATTTGTTAAAAGAAGATTGTAAAATTACGTGCCTTGTACATTATTCAGTCGTAAATGTAAATCAGAAGATGATTGTTTGCTATTCCACATCTTTTTTTAATATGCTCTAGTTGGTGTCTCAATTTGTGAGTACAAGAAATGAAAGAGGGTGTATACTGAGCCATTTGACTTATTACATGAGTCTTTTTCTGGTTGAAAAAGAAGTGCAGCATCTGTTAAGGAACCATCTCAACCTGAGCAAGCAAAAACAATAAATTTTAGTTTTTAAAGGAAAGTAGATGGTAAATGTGGGTGGGGAAAAAGAAGGTTGCTTACAAGTGTAAAAGGCAGGAGGAGCATCTGTGATAATGATGATGAGGTTGGAGTTGGTGATGTAGTGAAAATGGGGGATGAGGGGATGAGGGTGGTGAGAATGGTGGGGAAGGAGATGAAGAGAAATAGTAATGGTGATGTGCAGGGCCGACACTCACCGGAAGTGGGGATCGGGGAGTTGAGGACGAGGACGGACTTGCATAACCAGTGACCATTCTGAGTTAGTTATCTAGCTTCCTCCCCCCATCCCCATAGATGATGTTTAACATTTAAAGAGATGGAGCTCTAAATTTTGTAGGTAAACCAAACGGTCATCTATCTGTCTGTACGTTTCAACAACCAATCTATGTATACAAGGCTAAATTGGAGATAACTGCATTTTGTGGCAATCTTATCTATCCATATGAGTATGAATTGTAGATTAGCTTTGATATTACTGACTAGTATTGTTGACCCAGTGTATATATATATATTTTTTGGACATTAAGCTAATCCAACAAAATATATATAGGAGTAGTTCTAGTGTTTTAAGATGAATGAAAATATAGCTTTAAAGTTGATTCCGGTAAAATCTATATAAGTAGAAACAAACATCCAGAGAGAAGGTAGAGTGAAGTTAAAAAGCGAAAATGAAAGGGGGGAAAGGGGTATGTACTGTACAAAGTACAAACCACCATCCATCCATTGTTTGATTAGCTATGAATCAAAGAAGCATCTTCTTCTTCTCCCAGATCATCTCCTTATTGAAATTTTCATTCGCCTCCCTATCTCTGACTGGAGAACTCTCTCTTGTGTTAGTTAACAAGCAATGGGCTGATCTCTTTCGCCAAGACTTGCTCTGGAATGCTGCTCTTCTCACCACTTTTCCTCTCGCTGCTAACAGAAACAGATGGCCAGGCCAGGCTTGTCCAAAAGGTGGTTCTTTTGCGTTTTTTTTTATCACTTCATTTGATACATCAATTTTTCAGGAGATATACTGCATTGTATGTCTGCAAACATATTGGTGAAAATTTGGATGATGAGATTGTTGGTCACGTTTATTTATTTCTCAAAGAGCAGCTTCAAATGCCCCCTTTGTCCGGAGTACTTCATGGAACCATCATAGGTCCGTTTCCTCTTTTCTCTTGTTGTTTCTTATATAACTATATGTGATCAGTATGACAAACATGGCCTGCCCTTTCGTTTTAGCACTTTCATGTACAAATTAATCTCATTCATAACATGATATACATAATTGCCAAAAATGTTATTTTTGGTAAGATGAACTAGGTAGAAAATCATTTTTTCTGCCTAAAGAATAAAAGCAAAAAGAGTTAGCTAACGCCTTTAGTTCAAATAGGCAGGCCTATGTACTAACCCTGCTAGGTATGATTTTCCAGGTTTTCACTTTACCACCATGAGGACTAGGGTGTTTGTTACTTACAGAATGTTGCAAGATCCAACTAGCTGCATTTATTCTGTAAATAATAGTGAGTGATAATTGCAGGAAATCTTGTTATACTCTAATCAAGACTCAAGTAGATCCTTCTCTTGGGGAGTGGAGCACTCCTCTTTGTTTTGTTCCTTTCTAATAAAAGCTTGGTACGTGTTCTGACTGAGCCTTCATGTAATGTGAACGGTACCTATGAAGTGGAATCCATGCTAAGACTTTCCAGAAGAAGATGCCATCTGTTTGATGAGAAATAAAAAGGAATATCCAATATTCGAGTGGCAGAAGCTGAAGCAACTACTTTCTATGTTCCTTACTGTAGTCTTGGTCCATAGTTTAAGACTCTCTTCCTTATAAACAGCTGATGTGACTCCGTATTATATTGATGCCTTTCCCTTTGTAGTTTGTATAGTATATGGTTAAGTGATGGACATCATGATAATTACTACATGCCATAGTTATTAAATCAAACTGTTGTGATAGTTTATTTGTGTTTGTTAAATCTGTTAGTTTATATTTGTTATGTGGTAAGGGGCTATCCGAAAAAAGAAAGATTGACCTTTTTTCTCAAGTGTTTTGATTCAATTATCTTCAGTCAGTTTTCTTTAGTAACATAGTGCTTTGCGTGTCATTCAATTGGTATTTTGCAGGTGATGTTACCTTTCCCATAGTCCAAGGTCTTATAAAGTCCAATGGAGAGTGTTTGAAAGGCTTTTCACAGACTTCCGCGACTGCTTGAATCATGTGGAGTACTCTCATCTGCCTTTCAACCAGTACCATCTGCTTGGTTAGCATAGAATTACATATGTAAACAAGTTCAAGCGTCTGTTTTTCTCCTTTTCTTTTTTTTTTTTTTAAAAAAAATATATAAAAAGGAACATGCCGGACAAAGTTATGAATTGTAAAGACTAGTAATGTTTGAAATGAATGTCCTTAGGTTCAACCTCTCAAATGTAGTTAGCATTCAGAAAGAAATCTTATACATTTAACTTTAAACTGGGTTAAAAAACTGACTATAAGTCAAACATAATGCTACGTCACTTGCGAATCATCTACCTGTGCAAAAATAAATTAGGATTGAAATTCTACTATTTCTTGTAAGTCATACAACACATGTGAAAAAATTATTTATGTTATGTAATTAAATTTATTTTGTGTTTCTTATATGTCATATTCATAGGTGTGCGTATATATATACACTAGTTTTTGATAACGTGCGTTGCACGTTTGTCCTTTATTATCATTACAATTTATTTATTTTATTTAGAAGTGAGTTATAAGGTATAGATATTGAAATTAATTTTATTTTTTATTTTTTATTCATAAAATAGAATGGTGCACCTGCTATCAAACCAGAAATATGTGAATCATGAATGTAAAATATGTCTATGGATTCATGATAGAAAAATAATAATAAATGTATCTAATGCCTTTAATGAAATAACAAAGGAGCGAAACAAATTTATCAGAAATATAAATTTCAATTACACATTTTGCATTTTCTATAAAGAAAATAAACATAAAAGCTTAACGACAATATGATAAGATTGTCTTGAGAATGCAATTACTTGTGATTAGTCCATGGGTCTATATATGAGTATATTTTATTGTATTTACATGAAATATATCACTATTTGTGTTAGTTTTTGATGATATGATGTTCAGTATTCATGAAAAAATCATCACTCTATTCAAATAGTAAAAGTAATTGATATCTTTTAGTTTTCAAATTTAAATTTTAATAAACAGAAAATAAATTAACAAAATAATAATAAAAAAAAGACGAACCAATAATAACATCATAAACATGCTTGTGATGAGTCATATATAATTTGATGAAGGAAAAAATATTACAAATTCAAATCGAAGAGAAAATAATATCTAAGACGTACTAAGATTAAAAAATATGTTCTCTAACTAAGATCTTAATCTTCAATCACCCAAAATTAAAATAGGAAAAGGAAAGAATCTTGTAAGAGAAATGATAATGTATACAATTTAAAAGCCTATATGTGAAAATATGAGGATAAATATACTGTATAAAAAAAATTATAGCTTCGAAAAATACCATGTGTGATTCTCAAAGGTAAAATTATTTTACTATTACATGTCAATTATATACTTTCATCATATTTGTTGTTCAAATTTCATCTTTTCAAAAATGAAAAACAAGCTAAGAAAAAAATAGTAAAAAAGAACAAATAAAGACTAATAAAATAGAGAAAGGAAAAAATCAGTGAATATCCTGATTGAAACTGTATTATAGAAATACTCGGATAAATTAATATACCTTGAATTTTAAGAACACTTCAAATTGCATCACATATAAATCTAGAAGAGGCATATTCTACAATAAGAGGGGAAAGGGGGGGGGGGGAGGGGGAGGTTAGAAGAAAACAACAGCGGAGAAAAGTGTTAAAAATTTGAAACCTTCCCGTTTCAAAAAAGAAAAATAATGAAGGGCACGGGATGTTGGAGGACTATGAGATTTCTAGGAACACAAAATCAGTTTCTCATTATTGTCGTTGTCGAGAAATCACTGTAGACACCATATTTCATATGTTCTTCATGATTGTCTTAAAATCTTTGATTTCTTAACTAAAATAGCGTTCGTATATCTTCCATGCCTTTTGAAATGTATATGAAGATGAAATGATTTACTTAACGATGAAACATAGTTTGGTGTCAATTGGGGGGTCTGTGGACTTTTGTTGCTCTCCATGGAGCTTTTGGCCTAATAGGTTTCTTTATTTACCTGAAAAAAGTCATTATTCACCTAGAAAAAAAGATTTATTTAATGTAAGTTTAACTGTTGTCTTTTCAATCATTCTAATTATTGTAATTGAAGTGTAAATTTATTTTTTTAGGTCATTAAAAATGAAAATATTGTGCTTTTATTTTCATATAATGTTATATATATTCAAATAATGTTCAAGTGAAGAGTAAATTTGTAATACAACTTTGAGTTGAAGGACCTCTCACTTACATTATGATATGATATGATATATATGTTGAGATTATGTTTAGTAGAATATGAAAAGAAAGTATTAAATTTCATCATAATCAAGTTGAATGTAACACCATTCAACTAAAATGAGATAAATAATAGGGGTTATTTTAGGACGATACATTAGATTAGAATAAAGAAAGAGGATGAATATTTCAAACCCCGTGGTGGGGTTTAAGGAACGACATTTGTAATAATCTAATATAGTAGAGTAGGAGTAAGTTAAAACAAACAAGAAAACTCTCTCTTCTTCTTCTTCTTCT